TACTTTTGGCCTCACCACTTTTGCCTTTGACTCTGTCTTCCAATAGAGGATGCCCTCCTGCGTTTCTTGAAAATGAAACTGGCATTCATACAGCCTGAAGGAAAAACGTATTACGGCTCTGGTCCACAAAAGTGAATGCCATCGGAAATGTGTCAGTCTGCATGATGCAACAGGATTCCTTCGATTTAAATCCTCTGGATTTTTATGACAAACTATCTCATTTACTTGTTTTATTAATAAGAAGTTTGGGCTGAAGCATGTATTTGGATCCATTTTTGTTAAAAGTAAATGTGGGAGGTGGGGCCAGGGTTCTGAGCTAGATTTCTTCATGTTCTTACAGCTACTCTAAGGTTTAGCAGCATATATTACAGTCTCTGCTGCAGTGCTCCAGAAACAATGGGACCCTCCTCCTCCTCCTCCTCCTCACCTTACATTTACACCCAGCCTTTCTTCTCTTGCAAGGCCCCAAGGTGGCTGGCATAATCCTCCCCTCCCCTATTTTATCTTCACAGTTCTATGAAGGAGTTGAGGCTGAGAGTGAGTGCCTGGCCCAGGGAGCTCCTGTGACTGAGTGTGGACTCGAAAGCGGATCTCCCAGTGCCCCAGGCCAGTGCCCTGAGCACCACACCACATGAACTCTCTGTTCCAGTTTCAGTGGCTTGAACGATAAGGTGCCCAGGTTCAAGGGTCAGCACAAGCCATGCAGTCCATTTGGCAAAGATCCTGCACATTAATGGATAAAGCCTTTACTGTTGTGCTCAATTCCCTCTTTAGGCGAGGCTGTTAGTGCCCTCTTTGGTCTCCTTTGGGTGCCAAAGGATGTCTGTTTCAGTATTGTCTATATTGGCCCATCATTCTTTTACTTTTTCTGAATGGCCTTCTGAAGTCATAGGTTTGGATCCCTCTCTTTTATCTGAGAGTTTTCCTTTTCTGATCTGCTCCATTGTCTTATCTATTGGTGATTTTTAGCTTTTACAGTTATCCAAGTTGAGCTAGGAACAAAATGTTGTAATGTATTTCCATCCTCTAAGAGGAGTGCTCCTGTCCAGGGTTTTAGGCAGCCTGGAACAGGAACCTTGTGGTCACAATATCCTTTTGTGAAGTTTGGAGAGAGGGAATAAAAAAATCAGGTGACTCGCATACGCACCCATCCATGTGCTGTGTAAAAAAGAAAGAAAAAGAATCACATGTACACAATACAAGAGCACTCATAGATTAGCATCAAATAGGTATATGCTAATCTATATGCATAGATGCTACCATGGAAGCTGATTCGTAGAAAATGCAAGACAGATAAAAAGAAGTGCTTACTTACATAATGCATAGTTCATCTATGGAATTCACTGCCTCAGGAGGTTGTCAAGGCCAACACATTGGAAGGTTTCAAAAAAGGGATTGGATAGATTTGTGGAAGAGAAGGGTGGCTGAGGCTGATTGGTTCTGTGTCCACTTAGAGGCGTATATCAGTTTCTGGGGAGCATGAGCGGGAAGTGCTGTTGCACCCATGTCCAGTTTGCAGAAGCCCGTGGGCCATTGCGAGTGGGATCCAGGACTAGGCAGGCCCTTGGCTTGAGCCAGTGTGGCTCGAACGCTCTTAGGAAGAAATATAAATGTAACTATTCAAATAGTGGAGAGGATTGACCAAGCGTCGGGAGTGCTTGCTCAGTCTGCTTCCTGGATATAAACTGGGCCATCCCTGTCCTGCCTTTGTATTGCTCTTGAATATCAACCTGGGCTTGGGGTGGGCATACAGAGGACTGGTCCTTGACAGCCCTTCAGGTACAGGACCGTCTTCCTTAAAGTAGGGTTCATGGCCACCGCACCAAACAGGAGGACGATCCAGTCCTGCAAACAGGCCACTTTAGCTTTGAATATAATGACCTGCAACTTTCAGATGGCTGTGTGTATTGCTTCAGCTGTGCTTTATATTCCTCATGCAACAAACTTGTTTACCAAGCCTGATTTCTTTTAAAAATGCACTTTAAAAATGTGCGCATTTGCGTTTTAGACTCACTTATATCATAGAACAACAGATACCAAGTTAATGTCAGATTCTGGGTCATCGCCTGCCTCTCCCCAAAAGCTTCCTGAGGAGCCCCCAGGGGGCATGGCCTTGGGTCTTGGCCCCAAGCAGCAGCCTCTGGCTGGGAGAGAGAGATGTGGGAACAGGGCAAAGCTCTGCACAACTTTGAACCATAGGACTGTGATCTGAGAGGAATTTCTCCTGCTCAGAAGGCAATACCACAAAAAATAAATTGCTTGAATTCAAAGGTGCAGGCTGATTTCGCAGTGCAAGCCCTTCACCATTTGTTTCCAAATACATGTGATCTGAAACAGAGGTTTTAATTGACTATCTGATTTCAGACTCAAAGGCGATACCTAATAGAAATGACATAGCTAGATTAAGCAAAACACATAGTGGGATTTGTTGAAACAGATGTACCTGTGGAATATGACCCCTCCACACCTGTGGTCTGAAAGAACAGGCAGAGAAAAAAGGCTGGAGGGAGGCTTCAATCCTTTTCAGTGATTGGATAGAGCCCGATTAAGAATGAGTGACTCCTATCCCAGTGTTAACACTTGATGGATTGGTTTTTGTTTAGGGAGGTTGAGCTGTAGAGACACAGCAGAAGCAGCAAGGAAGGTTGCAAATCCAGAGAAGCTGTGTTCCTCCTCTGATTCTAAGCTAATGGTTGTGGCTTACATGCAGAAATAGGTGTACTGAAAGCCAATTAAATGAATCTTGGAACAGCATTTCATTCTAAGCTCACAGCTCACACTATTCCATATTCTTTCCTTGCTCTTTGAGACTTAGACTACCAATTCCCCTTCAGGCGCTTTTTCTGCAAGCCCTGCATTGTATGACAGCTTATGCAATTTCTTCCAAATGTCCTCAAAAGCTTTTGAATAAAAAAAGTTTACTTTGCAAATAAATATTTGAGCTGTTCCATGAAAAAAAACCCCTCTCACAAATGCACATCTACTCACACATTTCAATGTTAATGTACTGCACTTCTGATTACTGAGTTGGGACTTGCTGTATGACCACACTTTTAGAAATATTTGAATTAACTGATTTGTTGCATAAACAAATTGACTGCAAAACCACATTGTACAATTATCCAGCTACACTGCAGCAGCCATTTTCTTATCCCTGAACGATTCTCCATGGGTAGCCTGCTTTTCTACTTTATGCTTCCTATCATTCATGTGCATTTTTCTAAAAGGAAAAACAAAAAAAAGAAAAAGGTTAAAATACTTTCAGCTTTGCAAGAAAGTGAATTCTGGACAGTGGGGATATAGTGAACCAACCAGCCATAAACAAATGAATTCTCCCCATGAAACCTTGATTGCTTTCATTTTGTAGGATGCTGCAATCTTAGCTCGAGTCTTTTAGGCTAAGCAGTGATAGCTCATGCTTTTGCGGTGGCATTCATACATTCCCACTCTAAATGAAGGCCCACTGAGTTCCGTGAAGCCTACCCCAGAAAGCTGGATGCAGGATAACAACCATAAGTTTCTCAGCCTAATAGCACAAGCACGTGCTTACTTACTAAAATTAATGTCCATCCTATCTAGTGGGACCCACTCCCTAGTGAGTCTGTTTAACATGGAAGCTTTAGTCACGTTCTATAGATCGATGGTTCCTTAAATTCATAATTGTGCTTCTCTGTGTTTCTGACGGAATAGGTGAACTTGTAATGGGCTACCATGAATATTGCAGGGGTCACCTGGGGCAGCTGGAAAAAAGGTGTTTACCTTTACGGAACTGCTGCTGGGGTTTTCGCATTCTAATATTACAATATTTCTGCCACAAATCAAGTTAAGTCTGCCTGTTATGTGCCATCATCTACAACTATGAATGAAAGCCCCAAAAATGCCATATCCATGATAGCCCTGCCCAGCTCTTGTAATCTCAAGGCTGTGGTTTCCTTTAAGGAGTTAATCCATCTCATAGCTGGCCTTCCTTTTCTTCTTCTGCCTTCTATTTTCCTCAGCGTTATGCCTTCTCATAACGTGCCCAAAGTATGACAGCCTCATTTTTGCCATTTTTGCTTCTAGGGAAAGCTTTGGCTTGATTTCATTTAGGACCTACTTGTTTGTCTTTCTGTTGGTCCAGGTATTTGTAAAGCTCTCCTTCAGCACCATGTTTTGAATGCATCAATTTTCTTCCTCTCAGCTTTCTTCACTGTCTAGCTTTTATGCCCACACACAGTGACCGGGAATATAATAGCGTGGATGATCTTGGCCTTGGCCTTCAATGAAACATCTTTACACTCAATTATCTTTTCTAGTTTTAATGCTAAAATATGGTTTAATGTTAAGTCCATGAACATAACATGACCTGGTGGCAGGACCGTCTTAACAGCATTATGGGCCCCGGGCAAAGCAGTGTACTGGGGCCCCTATGACAACTACAACTAATGTTAATTTTGGAATTTTTCCAATTTTGCAAGGGTTAACATACACAGATTAGTATGGGGCCCACGGGCAAGTGCCCATCAGGCCCATGCATTAAGAGGCCCTGCCTGATGGAATACATCAGAATTCAGTTTCACCTCAACAGATTCCTTGTGTGTCATTGTGTTTAAACCAGGGCTTACAGTTTAAAACAAGCTCTATTCTATTCTTAAACATGCTAGGAACAAATCATTGCTGTTTTGTTAGTTTGCTCAATAAATGGAATTTATTTAAAGCCTCACTTCTTGTTCACATGTAAAGGATATTTTCAAATGTCATGGCAAGCCATGCTGGAAACAAGCCACTGTAGGCTGGTTGTTCACTCACCAGCACACTTTACTCCTGACGATCAGGTGCTCTGTGGGTCACTGTGCCTTGCTTCCCAGGCAATGCTCCCACCTGCTCTCTACATGTATCCCATGGGTGTCTGCGATGCAATTCCTCATATCCTCTTATTTTCAACAGCTAAAGCCTTCCCCCAACTTGGTTGCTACACACCTGCCAAAAGCACATGCTGTAAAGCAGAAACGGAGTCTTCAGTAAAGCAAGCATTTTATTGAGTACCATGGCTGAGATCAAGAAAATTCTAAGAAGAAAACTCCAACAGTCATAGAAGTAGTCAGGCGAACTTGTGCACTTGCTCAAGCACAACGAGAGGGGAAAAATGGAATTCTGTGCAAATGTCTCTTGTAGACTGAACTGGTCTTGCTTATAGAGAAAATTACTATGTTGTTCTGAGATTTGCTGGAAAATATCTGGCAATTTAGATTTTTGGATACATAAGTATACAAGCAAATGTGTGCACTTGTGAAAGACCATACAACTATTATATGTTCATTTTTAAAGGATCTGCTTTTGCCTTTCAAGATCAAAAACTATTTGTGAATGTGTTCAGCACATTCCTGTGCATAATTTCTGCTTTGGCATAGAGTAGACAGCACCAACAATGAGGGAAGGAGAGGGGATGGTGGCACTAGGGAGATCATAAGGAAAAGCTGAATTTTCTACTTCACTGGCCAAGTGAGGTAGAAATGGAATCCCACATTTGAAGCTTTGTTTTACCTAGCCTTGCTCCTCAACAGTGCTCAGGAGAAAACTGTCCAATTGTGCAAGCTTTTCTGGCTAATTTTATCTGATGCTTCAGCTGCTAAATGCAAGAAGCTGCACTGAACCTATAAAATGCACTGTATTAAGCAGTACTACTCTTTCAATGTTGATTTTTGAAGCTAAAACAACTGAAATTAACAGTTTTGTTTCCCATCTCAGATAGAGCATAGTTTATACTCTTAATGTTTTCTATCTTCTTTCTTTTTCATAAAAATTCCCTCTCCTCATATCTTCTAAAGAATTGCATGCTTTACAAATGAGTCCTTTGCACTTCAGAATAAAATCTGTTAATAGTAAGTTTTGTTCTTTGTTCTTTCTTCTGTTTTCATTACAGAAAGGCTTCAGTGATGAGCATATTTTTCTGCTTTTGTCCATTCCAAAATTCTTCCAGAGATATGTTGGAGGCATTCTTCAAATGATGCTTGTGTCCTATTGCAAGAAATGAAGAAGCTGCAGTTTGTCTATTCAGAAGTCTGGAAAAAGAAAGTTAAGTCTTTTAAGAATTGCTTTTTCATTGCTGAAAGAAACAAGTCTTTATGTTGTATCTCTTTTTAAAATACAGCCACACTGCACAGATTAAGTACAATATTACTATATTAGAATTACTTTGTCTGGAGGATAAGCAAGTGAAACATACCTTCCCATAATACAGACCCCTGATGTATCTTGACAGGCAGTCCATTATCTATTATGTTTGATCAAGAACAAAAATTCTACACTTAAAGGTACGCTAATGTGGTGGTGGTGGTGGTGGTGGTTGTTTTTAATCAAGGCAGGCAGATTCATTCTGTTTCTCATATTCTGTTAGCCACTGGTTAAGGAATTCCCTTCTCTTAAGTCCACCTGGTCAAGCATTTTTCAGAGGTGGTAACCATTCGATAATTAAGTTTTTAGGTGTTATAATTTGGCTTTAAGATGCATTCTCTATCTACTTCCATCTGTGTCAGAGCCAACAAAATGAGGCATAGTTCAGTCAAAAGGCAGAAGTACCAGTTTAGCTTGTGAAAGGTTGTATGTAAAGGAAAACTTACACTTAGGTTGGTGGATACTCATACTGAGGTGATGCAAACAGCCAGTTCATGATCAGGAAGGTAGGGCTAGGTGAGGAGGGAGCATTTGCTGAAATGGCTGGGTGCACTCAACTGGGATCTCTTAATAACTGCTTTCCAAACACTTCAAACACTCTGTGTGCATTGCCAAGTCATTAAAATCAATGGCTGCTTTGCAATTGACTTTAATAGGATGTGACTGCACCTTTAAGGTCTTTAATAATAATAATCCAGAGAGCCTTTGCAAGGAAAGTATACACTGGTTTATCAGATACTTGCTTAAATTATCTGTAAAAAGCAAGCTATATTTTCTGTCTCTCTCTCTCTCTCTTTCTGTCTCTCTTGGTGCTCATTAGGAGAGGCATAACATGTAAAACTTCAAAAAGTACTTTATAAAGAAGGCTGAACACTAAAAGTTCTCTTAAAAAGAACACAGATTATTTGATAATGGGGAGAGAATGTGATGTTACCTACACCCCCCCCCCCGGCATGATCTGAGGTGGCTTCTGAAAGATACATTTATTGTACATTTGCTCTGACTCATTTGGGGTGGGGGTTCCAGAGGAAGTTATATCCCATTTGCAAGCAGACCATGTTTTCCCATTGCTTCTTCTATCCATTCTTCTTCCCACAAAAAATTGTTAAGGAGGAAAATACAGGATAGCTATATCATGTCATTTGATCGGTAGTCCCAGGAGCCATCCACCTGGAAGCACCCTGAGTTGTTTTGCTGTCATGCAATGTTCACGAAAGCAACTGATGGGCAAAGCGCCAGCAATGGAATGCAAGCCTGGAAAATGGAAATGAAATGACAGTGTGACATGAAGAATGTTATGTAAGTACGAAAGCAGGATCAGCTATGCGTTGTTGTCAGGAGCAGAACAAACAAGGAGTAGAAGGATTCGTATACTATTGGCAGGTAAGCCAATCAATCAGGGGCACTGAAGAAGCTGAGGATGGTTAAACCAGCAGGAAAGAGGTCTGGGAGAAGGGTCCAGAAACAAGGATTCTGACAAAAATGACTGTGATGCAGCCTTTGAGTGACAGACTAAGACTAAGGAGATTCAGGTTCAAACCCGGACTTGGCTGTAATGTGGCCAGTTGCCATCTCACAGGGCTGTTACAAAAGTATAAAAGGGGTGATGAGCAGCCATGTGTGCCACCATGAGCTTCTTGGAGGGATAAGAATGTGATAAGAAACTAGGCCTTGGCTAAAGAGCACCCCAGCGCTTTCCTTTAATGGAGGAAGCTGGAAGGCAGAAAAGCAGTGGTAGCTAGTCGTAGAGAGCAAGTAAAGAAAACTGGAGAAAAGTCTCCTGCAGGGGTGACAGCCAGGAAAGATGGTGTTCTTGAAAGACTATAATTAAGAGATCAAGGAAAGGAGTAAGATCACATGGGTTAGGCAGCACTAACGGGGGGACAGTGTTTCACACCAACCAGTCAGATATTTGCTGCAGATCTCTATTTTGCGGTGACTGAGAATGAAACTATAAACACAACAAGGAAAAAGGGCAGCTGCATCATTTGATCAGTCAGACCAAATTATATATGTATTTTATTAATCTTATTTTTTCCTTTTGGTTTGCAAAACTATATACCGCATTGTACCTAGGGAATCCTCTAACTGTGTAGAAATCATGATCTTACTTTGGTTGCTGATAGGCACTTGAACATGAGTTCAGTATAGGAGGGAATGATAACCTCTTATTTTTATACTTGGAAATATTTTTAAAGCAGACATATTAAATTTGATATACTAGTTTATGAACATTTGGATATGTATTGAGTGAAAGTCACAGAATCCCATGACATTTAAATTGTGGTGGTGGTGTTTAAAAACTTTTCAAGAAGCAAACACTAAAGAAGCTCATGGTATTTAACAACTCACCAAATGTTCCTTTTCTTGTCCTTGTATTCAAAACAGCCCTTTGACTTGTTCTGTTTCAGGGTCCAGGTCGATATCATAGAAGCAAGGTCTTGTAGGTAATCCTGGCATAGTGCTCATCTAGGGGAACAAATGAACCAGAAGTTGCAGTTCTGTGTTCGTAAGCTGATAACCACCGTGCGCCTATAGACCATGATGAAGTGAAATACCATATTGTTCTCGTCACATGCACTGAAAAGAATAAAGCCATCTGCTACTCCAATCCCCTTTTTCTAAACCCTAAACTTTAAACATATTTATTTGTGCTCAGGTTGCTAGCAAAGAACTTTTGGGAAATAAAATCCAAGGCAGTACTATGTAAAACTCTGTGGCATAGGATTTTAAAGAATTTTCCACACTTGGAGACTATAGTAAAGGAACTAGGTATGTAAATAGCTAACAATAATCAACTGGAGTAATTCAGAGAAATGCGGTAATAATGTGGGCTGCTGTTTTAAGCTGTTCTAGTCAGCTCAGTTCTGAAGGTGCATTTCCAGGGACAATACATTATTTAATACACATGTACTGGTAATAACCACCCAAAAGCAATTTAAGGATAAATATTTCCTCAGCATAAATATCAAATGAAATTATCTTGCTTGAATAATTAGTGAATTATATGACAACCATTACAAAATAATATTAATTAAATTTAATTTGGATGCTGCCAAGTACATCGAGTCTCTACCACAAATAATAAAGGAAACTATTTGTCAGAAAGTTTTCACAAATTATACTGCTGCTCCTTCCTTTTAAGATGCTGCTGAGCCCACCTCACCCACTCTGTGCTGCAAATGACGAACCCTTCCCAGGCTTAGCCCTCCAGCTCTGAAACAATGAGCCCAAGAGAAGGGGAAATTGTGTCCCAGGACATTTACAGGAAAGAACAGGCGCATGTGTGTGGTTTACTACTTCTCCTATCCATGAATTTTGTCCGCATTTGCCTCCTCAGTTACTTTGAGAAATTTGGGATCGCACAGTTACTGGCTGAGTTTATTTCTCTAAGAATCACATGGTGCAAGATAAGACCAGATCCCTGCACAGGCACTGTCTCCATGTACCAACTGAATAATTTGAAATGCATATCTATGCTTAAAACTGGATCCATAAAGATCGGGTGCAGGGAAGCTTTGAGAATCCCAGAAAGTAGGCAACTTTCGTTTTCTGTGTTCCGGTAAGAAAGATGTATTGACTATGAACATTCAAAAAACAGAAAAAGTCACTCCCTTATGCAATTAAGAAAGCAAAGCAGGGTAAAGAAGATGCTTTTGCTCATGCAAGATAGCTGGACCCAATGAGCTCCCCTCACTTCCCCTCCACCCCCATGTCATGGCTCAGTCCATTCAACAGAGTCCTGATGCTTGGGAGAAGCTTTTTGGAAGACTGGAGTTGGGGCTGCTGGCAGTCGGGAGGGAGGGGTAGTCACCGTTCATGGACTTTTCTTTAGCTCCAAGCCAGAGCTTCCACCAGTGACCACCATGATCTTTATTCCTGAGGCTTTGATAGATCCTGTTTACAGATATTCAAGTAGGAGTAGCAGGGAAATGGAAACAGGGATTCTCAGTATGACAGGATGTTTGATACTGTCCATTCTGTGAGGTACATAATATGCACACTAATCTGCATATAAATATCTGTAGAGTTTTATGAACCCCAATAGCCCCTGCCTCTGTCATCAGATCTGTAAACTGACACAATCATTGGGCATATGGTGCTCCTTTAAATAGATCTAAGCCCTGGTTGGTAGACAATATACAGTGGTACCTCGGCTCATGAATGCCTCAGTTCACGACCAAATCAGGTTGCAAACAAAAATTTCATAAAAATTTTGACTCAGGTCATGAACTCTGCATTGGGTGGCGTGAGGAGATGGCCACGATCATGCTGGGGGCGGGAGGGGAGATGGCTGAGGTTGCGCCAGTCTTTCCTGCAGGAGCACAACCGCGAATCTCTGCCATCTCTCCCCCGCCCCCCCAGTGCACCGGGATGACGGGTGCGTGCAGGGATGAGAGGGCGCGATCGCGGTCGTGCTGTGAGGGGGCAGGGAGATGGCCGCGCTCATGCTCAGGGTGCGGGGGGGGGGGATGGCCACAATCTTTGTTGTTCTTTGTCACTTTGCTTTACATTTTTCTGATTTAAAAAAATAGTTACAGAACGGATTAACCTTATTTATATTGAACCTTATGGGGAAATTTAATTTGACTCACAACCAATTTGAATCATGACCAGATTCCTGGAACAGATTAAGTTAGTGAGCCAAGATACCACTGTACTAGCACAGGATTTTGTTTGACTTTAAAAGTTTAGAATTATCCTCAAGAGAGAAGGTGTTGTCAGAAGTGGCTTTCACAAGCTGACCTCTCCTACAGAAAATAAAAGAAACCTCAGGCTGTGCAGACAAGATGGACTTGCTTTAGAAAAGAATCAACATTTTAAAATTGCTAATAATTTCACACATTGAAATAGCAGTCTTTTCTAAAACAACTGAAATATGTATTTTAAGAGAGAGAATCTCTATCTCTGTGTACACTATTGTATTTACTCTGAGTGTGCACATGTGTGTCCACACACAGAGTAAATACATGGTTTATGAAAGCAGTTCAATAAAAAAAAATTACCCCAATTTTTAAAAGCAAGGCTTATTAACATGGTTTTATGAAGATGTTTGACTATATATTTACCCAAGTAAAAGTAAAAATTTAACCAGGACATTTAACCTTTACGGACACTGTCCCTTTCTTTCCCAGAGTGTCATAACCTGCTAATAGCAAAGTATTACTTTTCATGTTTGCTTATTTAAATGTATGTATGTATGTATTTAAATGTATGTATGTTTATTTAAAAACAAAACATACATAATAAAAACCTATGTGGTAGTAAAAAGATTACAAACAGCAACAGCAGCAAAAATTCTAGAATGTTTATAATCTTTAACCTGTATTTTCCTTTATTTAGTAGGCAGCTGTTGCCAAACACATCAGTAATGCTTTGCCTGACTTAAGCAAGAGCTGGTTTGCTATAAACTATATCAGTGTTCTGTACTGGTTCCAGAAGCACTAACTGTACAATTTCCACTATCTTTCAGCAAGTAATGTCTGCTTCCACAGTATGTCACAACCAAAATCCATCCCAATTGACATGCATAACTTTGAACTTGTAATTCAGTCCTTGAATTACAAGTCTCTTTCTTCTAGGCCAGCACACACAAGAGGTACTTAAGTAGTTCTTTAAATGCAGGTATCTGCACAATGACAGCTTCATCATCTTGACATTTTAGGCTTATACTGGAAATAGAACAGTTGGCTAGTAGTCGCAATGAATATGGTTGGCATCTTTCCAACTCCCCTTAAAAAGAAGTAGGTGATCAGGCCAATTTTCAAACACAGAACTTTGAATGGTATTCAAACCTTGCGTTGAAAGATGTACTGCATATTTTAAGGGAAATACTGATTTTCTGATTTCACTGAGTTATCAGAGGAATAGCAATGCAATTATTTCAATAATATGTTGGACACTGAGGTTGGAACTCTGCTCATACTTACAAGTGATATTTGTCAATTTGTCAATGTTACAACTGACATTTGTCAATGTTAAAAGTGTTATTTGTCAATTTCCCCCTTTCTCTTGATCTGTTCATTCTGACGGTAAATATGACCAAAGTCTGGAAGGAATGGAGGTAAGTTAAGTGTTGGCAGGTCCCATGCCCAACCCAATCATGGAAATGCATTAGGGCTGGGAAGGGTTGTAGGTAGTGGCAAAAGAAGAGAAAGCAGTAGAAGGATCAACAGACTTCTCTTGGTCCAAAATATGGTGGCAATCCCCAGTTCATCAAAAGCTCTAGCACAGGCAGTGGCAGCAAGGGGGGAAAACAGCTCCAGATATGGGGGAATGGATGTTCCAAACACATTTATAGCTCTGTCTTTTTCAGGATTGTAATACTCGAGAAACCTAATGTTTAGAAAAGGATTTTGTCTTTTATTTCCTGGAAGAATTGAGACCTGAGATGAGGCTCTGAGATGAGTGATATGTAACAGTTGGTCACCAATGTGATAAAAGCCAGCTAGAAGGGACACTTTTTAAATAACGAGTTAGTACATCTCAGGTAATTGCTGTGCAATCAACAAAATCAAAATAAGCTAGTGAGAAATTTAAAAAGCCACCAGAAACAAACAATAAAAGACAAGACAAATAGTCTCTGCTAACACGACCGCCACTGAAGAAAAGCAGTAGTTATTATATATGCAGTAATATGTGATATTTTGCCATTATCCAAGGGAAAGAGTTCATAGTTCAAAGGCAAAGGTCACAGCCTATGCAGAAACAGCATCACATGATTCCAACATACTTAGAAATTACTTGGTAAGTATGCAAACAAAACATGAAACCAAGAGACTCCAGCTCTTGATGCTCCTCTTAGCTCATCATAGTTTTAAGTCTATATCATTAATACATTCTCAACAGAAAAAACAAAACAAAACAAAGACCCTGTAAATTAGGTATTCATACCTGGAGTAAGGAAGAATCACATATGCTCTGTCCATCATTTACACCATAATTCTTCCATGCTTTTACATATTTCATGAGTTTCACAAGCACAGTATCTTTAACTCAACTGCATTGAAAGGAAAATAGAATACCCCTTGGGCCAAAGAAATAAAGCTAAGAAATTATTCACACAGTGCCAGTTTTTATAAGCAAAATACGTAGGAAATTGCAAAATGTGAAGTGTATAACATGACATACCTGTGTATGTGGAAAGAACTTATACTTGGACCATATAAGCAGGGTGCAGGATCTTGGGACAGTGCAATTTACATGTAGGAATAAAGCAATTTGTGTAGGAATCTGGAAGTGTGTAAATTGTGCCTATGTATTTAGCCAAGTTTTTGGATTAGACCATAGTTGTCCTGTAATTAGATTGTATCTTCAGCTGTACTGTGATAGATGAGAAGGTTCCCAAGCTCTTTCATTTATCCAGCCTATTAATATGAAGAAAACAATTTGTTCCCTGAAGTCACAATTCCTCAGTTCAAACATTCATATTTAGCAGAAGTGCAGCCTTTATAAAAATCACTTCCCTA